TCAACAAACTGTTGTGGAAAAAACTGCTCGGTAAACTTTTGAAACGATTTCCTTCGGGTAGATCGATTTGTGCTTGGCACTCTGGACAACGGAACTTTCCTTGTCTGTGACTGGCTCTCGCATGATTCTCCAAACACTGACAGCAAAATGTGTGTAGACATGATATGGTTTTGGGTTCATTGTAGGTATCGAGACAAATCGAGCATTCAAGATGTTTCTTGAGGTCTTTCAAAAGGGACTCCATCGCCACGTGTCGCTTGTTTAGTGAAGTTGCATCAACATTATATTTTAGTTTCCGAGAAAACCGAATGAATTAACGTCATAACAGTCTGCTTGGAGCCAATCAAATGTCAAAAAATTTGTTACGTCAGGAATGTAATGTTAAGTATCTCATCCGTCACACATTACATTTTACACATTTAGGGAATTTATTTCGCTGTTTAAAATTTGAGAATTACAAAGCAGTCAAATGCAATCATTTGGAGAATTCCTAACAAACATAGCTCCATCTTTATTCCGAGAAGACAGAATTGATAATTGCTATAGCCATTACGAACTTTGCTATTTTAATCTGGTCAATCAAATTAGAAAAGCTCACAAAAGGTTGGCTGAGCTCCATTGTAACCTAAGATTGTTGATCTGTTGCTTGTGTTAATGTGTCCTTGCTGTCTGCTGGGAATTTTGTTTTGAGACGAATAAACTATTTTTACTTTGAAACTGATCGATTCAAAAGATAGGTACGCAAAGCGTGCATATTACCTGGTTATATTATTTTAACAAGGACCAACAAACTCGCCGAAGGAAAATAAATGAACACAAATGCAATAGAGCTGAAAGCTTAATTAAACACTTTTTTAGCTCCATCATCAAGTTTCATCCGTAAAATATACTTTTGTAGTTACAGTTGAATCTCTTTACAACGGCCACCTTGGGGACAGAGAAAAGTTGCCGTTGTAGAGAGGTAGCCGTTATGGGAAGTTCAGAGTGTAAGTAGTCTCATCCGCTACACTACACCCATTTTGACAGGTACTCGTCAAATGACGTCATCAATCAAAGTACCGCCCATTTGCATATTTAATGGTTTGATTGACAAGTCAAATGACACCATAAATCCAACTCGGCTTGTGATTGTTCCGTTTGAAAAATACTCGAACCTTTTTGATGGATGCATATGGGTGATGAATGGTTGCGACGCAAAAGGGAATAACGCCACACAGAAAATATGTGTGCAACTCTATTTCACAAACATTTTCTCTTGTGTTACATTTGGGACGTGTGTGGGTCCTGCAGGTTTGTGCAGGCCCTGGGCTCTGGTAGTTCATAATGTCATTACAGGTCAGTGAAAACGAACAATGATTTTAACTGTATTTCTCAGTAATGTAATGTAAAATTTTGATCTTAGCAAAGTTCTATCTTTTGATTACCGTATGTGAAATCCAGGGCATTGTATGACCTCATTGGTAGAATAAAGCACAAATTCAGAAATAACTGAATCTTGTACTAGATGAAGAGCCTGACCTCCTACCTAAACAAATACAAAACCAAACAAGAAGTGTCAAAACCTTTGATTGTACGCTGTCGAGACCTAACGAAACCAAAGTAGTTGATTGTCCATGTATTTTCACTCTGAGGATTTGATTTCTTTTGAATTGATCCTTTCAGGACTTATGGTTTTTTTTTTTTGACACTTAATTAACATGTCAGTATTAATCTGTATTAATGATATTATGGCTGGCAAACTTTTCAACTGTTAAAAGGAGAATTCTGATTGGTTCCCTGAGCTGTCCTAATTTTGCAATACGAACCGCTAAGATGGACCGGCCACGAATTGTTTTCGGAGATTTGCTCATTTTTTCTAAACAGTAATCGCAAAAAAAGAATAATTTGTTCATAAGTAGAAATCGTCTTCCTTCATGTTTGGCGAGCGGCAAGTTCGGCCCTAATTGCCATCCGTAAACTTCAATGACATATTCTGAATGACGAACGAACTGGATTTGTCAATCAGATACGAGCTGCCTTTTGTTATATTAAGCCGAATTGAAGGAATAAAGGGAAAAATGGTCACCAAGCTAAACAGATGTCCACGTCGTCTATACAGGTATAAATACCTTCTTTACAAATGGATGTACCAAAAAAGTACGAAGAGATTTGTGGGAGGAGCCCAAAGAGTGTCTGCATAGGACGGTACTTCAGCTTGGCTCCTTTGTAATTTTGGTTACTAATTTTGGTGCCATTAAAGAAAAAGAAACAGTTTCCGTATTTTAATTGAGTTTTTGTAATGTAAAATTCTAGTCAGGCGCGGATATGTGTTAAATGGTGACGGCCGATTTCCGAAACGAGTGCCGAGGGTGCTAGCTTCTAGTGGGGTCAGGGTCGTTGCTCCGTGAGGAAATATTTTGGATTTTAGCTCCCTAAAATCTCCTTTCCTGGCCATGGCTTTCTGAGATTTTCTGAGAAATTTGACCGATTTCCCTAAAACGGTGTTTGTCAACCAATCTAATTGGCTGAGCTATCGTACACAGTCAGCCATTAGTAGGATTCTACAAGTTTACTGTAATGCAAATGCTGCAATCTGATTGGCTGAGGTACTCGTACACCCATCAGTCATTAGAATGCAGAGGCTGGTGGTCGTCTTCATCAATGACGATTTAAAAATGTAACTGGATAATCCAATTTCCAAGAACACTTAAGAAAGGATATTGACCCTTATGCGAACAAAATTTTTAGTGAACTGATCATGAAAAACGTTCGTGCACAACTGCAAGTTTCAAGTAACAATTCAGTTCGCGCGATTTTCCTCAGCTGGAGCGTGAAATTTACGACGTGGAGAAATGATCGTTTTTTGAAGGAGATGTAGTTAAATTATTATACTAACACAAGATTATTTGCTCTCGATTTGTATGAGGAGGTCATAGTTGATTCGGCCTTCGGTTTCATCAACTCGAAAGAAATTAAGCAATTGAGGCTGGGAAACATTAATCTGGTCACCAGTTCCATCTGTGTGATGTTCCCAAGAAAGAAAGAATAACGTACAGCGGCACTCACTTACCATATTTCCCCTTCATGTCCGCTTTTTAAAAGGAAACAAACAAGTTGAATAGCACGCTACTGGCTGTGTGACGCCCCCGATCAAGGAAGAATGTACAGCGGCAATTGCTTTAATTCATTCCTGTTTCGTGCCCACATTTAAAAACAGTGTACTAAGCGAAAGAGTTGAAATACTTCTGTATGTTATTTTATATTCATTTTATTACAGATAAATAAGGTGCTTAACAATTATATTAACATTTTCGAGTATAGCTTATTTCAATGCTTAACTGCTTAACAACCATTCCACAAAAATATTCAAGACAATTCTCACATAAGATGTTATTGCAAAAAACTCAATTTAAGTGTCGAATCATTTTTAGACTCAGTACAGAGAATCACGTTCAAAAATCCTCTCGCAAATATACTTCCTACAAATGTTATCTAATTATTTGTTACGAGGTAACAAAAGTTTTTTAAAAAACTTTTTCTATGATATTGTCGTTCCTAAATTTGAAAGCACTTGTGGCACAATTTTGTAGATTTGTTCATTTTGCTACCGAATTTTAAATATACTAGGAATATGGGTTATTGACCAACCGTGAGGTCAAGATGGTTGGATATTGGTGAAGTTCTTGTTTTTGCGTGTTTATGGACCGAGCTGGGGTCAAGGTACATAAACACGTAAAAAGAATGAGTCCATTAACTAATGGCCATATTATCTGGTTAACTCCTTGAGAGGGCGAGATGAACCGAATCCTGAGCTGTAATTGG